AAAAAAAATAAAAAAAATTAAAAAAAAAGAACTTGCCTATAATATACAGTTATCAATTAAGCCACTGTTGACAAGGATAACCTCTCTGAAGCAGAAAAGTTAGCTGCCTGTACGTTTATTTTTCCTGACAAACTTGTATCAGAGAGAGTATTTCAAATGCTTTGTGATCAAGATAAAAAAAATTGCACAATGGATTTTTTTTTTTTAACATGTGGGTAAGTTCGTAGAGCATTTTTATACCATTTCATTCCTAGAAAGATGATATAAAATCAAGCTTATGTATAACCCTGGAATCTGGCCTTTGGTCATTATGTTAGCAGCGTGCCAACCACCGCCCCCCCCCATCATATGAGGATTTGAGACATGTATCCAAAGTAGAGCTGCATAATTGTGGTAGCCCATCTGGTCTGATTTTAGCTTCTCTGCACTTCTCTGACATTGCATGGTATCCAAGGCAAGGAAAAAACAATAAAAATTCCATGCAGCATACTTGTCAATAAATGTTTCATAGATTTCTGTTGATGTTTCAACTCACAGGACACAGAGGATTACTATTCTATACTGTTCGTTCCCAGTAGCAGTTAATATTTTGGCTGAACAGCCTCCTTCACTCATTCTGGCTTTTGCTCCTTTGAAATTGGAGACTGGAGAGTGGGTTCCATCGTGTAATGGTTAGCACTCTGGACTCTGAAATTGGAGACTGGAGCCCTGACAGTAGTTTTACTAGAAAGAAGGAAGCATATCAGTAGCTTGTAACTAGTAGGAAAATAGTCTGAATATACAAATACATTCAGGATACAAATATACAGAAACATAGAAAATCATCCCCAGTCTGTATTTGTTAAACAGTACCACCCCCGCACCCCCCCCAGCCCCCCCCTGCTGACTTCACAGGCATTCAATGTGTGCCTTTGCAGAGGGTCCCCTACTTCAAAGGGCCCATGCTTGGTTTAATGCTCTACTGTCTTTGTCTTGAAATTCTTAACCATTTTTTAATAAAGGGTCCCATGTTTTCGTTTTGGAATGAGCCTCATAAATTGTGCAACCAGTCCTGGCCCTTGTTTCCGGAGATTCTGGGTAATTGTGTTTGTGTAGCATCAACAAATTGTGCCTGGCGCTTAGAGATGGCAGTAAATGTTTTTAGCATGAGTATATGAGTGATGTTATAAGGCTTTAAATAAAAGCAACCAGCCTGAATCTCAGCCCATTAAATTATGCTAGGGTTGGGCGCCTGGGTGGCTCAGTTGGTTAAGCAACTGCCTTCGGCTCAGGTCATGATCCTGGAGTCCCGGGATCGAGTCCCGCATCGGGCTCCC